ACTATTGAGGATATTATGCATTCTACTCTTAAGGAGTTCTTTTAAAATGTAAATTGTCTTGGGTTGAAAAATCATAAATGCCCCATCGTGGTCTCAGCCACAGTCCCCGCTGCAAGGTGGGGGCAGAGACCTCGGCTTTGGGCGGCCAGTGCACCAAGTGGTGCCAGGCTCTGCCTGCTGGCCACCCAGCGGCGAGCTCTGGGGTTTTTATGATATGAAATTGCTGCTTAGGGACACCCATAAATAAGACCAGCGTTAGCGTAGGTGAGACACGAATTTCTGGTGATTCCCAGCAACAGGGACATGAAACCTTCATGCAAGTGTGGGACTGAGACTTGAAGGTCTGGACTAAGCAAACCTTAGCCCACAAGCATGATTGGAACACAGGGTGGAGCTCAGGACATGCCCAGCTAGGTTATGGCTCCAACTGGTCCACATTAAGCAGAGTTGAGCCACGGTGTCTAAGGCAGGGGTCGCGACAGGTGGCTGCGGTCGGGTCTGGATATAGTTGTCATCTCCCTTTGCACAAGTGTGGACTGGAATAAGACATACTGGGCCTTGCCAGACCCCAACACATTCTGGTGCTTTGGAGGACCAGGATAGATGTGGGACAGACTAGGCTAGGTCTCAACGCCAACTGAGCCATATATGAGCTATATGAGGGTGTGTACAAGCCATGGCTGGGCTGAAACATCCTACAGCAAGAACCAGAACAAGATGAAGGCCAGTTAGGAAAGGCCACTGTTCCTGCTAGGACAGGAGGTGAACTGGCACATGGACCCACTGGTATGCAAGAAACCAGGCACTTGGAGGGGTTCTGATGGAGGAGCCCGGGCAACTCCTCTGGCAGAACACAGACCCTGCAGGTCAGCGCAAGAAACATGGAAGGTAACAGCTAAGAGGTCATGGAAAGTGTCCCACTGGCATGCATTTGGCATGGGTCAGGGGCAGACCAGGCTGAATCTGTTCATGTCATCCACTAGTAAATCTGAACGCCAGAACAGAGTATGGGTTGAACCAGGTCCAGTCGTGACAAAAGCAATACACAATTTGGAATGCCAAGGTGAGTTAGCCTTAGCCGGATGCAGCCGCAGTGCCCAACCAGCACACGTGAGAATCAGGAATGGAGAAGACAGAGCTGGCAGGGGAATAAGGGGTGGTTCCCTAGCTGAACAGCTATTTCCACTGAGGAGCATGAGCTGGGTAGGGGGTAGACCAGACCAGGCAGGGACACAGCACCTGCGCACCTCATGTGGACCAGATCGGGTGAAAACCAGGCTGGGCTGACTATTCCCACTGGTGCAATCTACAATCAGAGTGGGTGAGGGTTGTTGGGGCTTGGTCGTAGCATCAGCTGACGGAAGCTGGTACAGGGGGCTAGTCATGTTGAGTTGAATCACAGGGCCAACTGGAGAGCGCACAACCTGGGAGTGGGAGCGACCTGGGAGGGAAATAGTGGGCTCCTCCCCCTTGGGTCATCACCTTGCACGGGAGGGCATGGGAACTAGGACAGGGGCTGGGGTGGCTAGACAGACACCCAACAACATCCATTAGGGCTGGTAGGATGAGATGGTTGGATGGAAGTAGGTTGTAACACCTGTTGGCAAGTATGTGAGAAGGGAATGTGGAACAGACTGGACTCGTCTGCCATACATACTGGCAAGCCAGGGTAGGGGGTGGGCCCGGTTGGGGTTACTGTGGGCCGCCCTGACTGGGCTGCAGCTCCTACTGGTTTTTGTGAGGGCCGAGTGTGTCCAGGGTGGAACCAGGCTGGACTGTAACACCCATTGGTTCCAGTGGAGGACATGGATGGAAACAGAACCGACCCAGCAACTGCAACCACCAGCTGATCGGGGCGATGGACTGTGCTGGGTCCTATGCTTGCTAGAACACACAGGAATCTGGACTGGGAATACCTCAAAATTTCTTTGAGGATCTCCCCAGTCGAGACACCAGACTTAAGAGTCCTAACCAAGAAAAGACAGAACAAGTCAATCAACAACCTCAGCTATCTGTTGGCAGCAAAATACTGGGCAAATGGAGACTCTAAAAGGGACTGTGTCAATCAATGGATTCTTCAACAACCACATCGTGCTTAGAGTGGCGAGACTGGCAGCGATCCATGAATGGTGAACTATTGGAACCACTTGATTGAGTATCTCAGAGCATGCCCCACATCTGGAACTTAGGGTGGGTGGGAAACCGGGTGGGGCTTCTCCCTCTATTTCCCCCTTTACCTCAGATACATGAAGGAAGCAGTAAGGCAGTGATGGTCTTGCCCACTTCCCTGTAGCCCTTGAACCTTTTTTACCCTAATTAAATATGTAAAGATTGTCAAAATTAAAAAAAAGAAAAATCATAAATGCAAATGAGGAAATGCAAAACCACTCACCTGTCTTGATCAGTTTATGTTACATATGTATATTGAAATATTGCACTGAAATTATTAAGTGCCCAATAGTATACATTAAACAAAAAGTAAAAGGCTTTTTTTAAAACAAAATTCAATAACTTTAGAAGATCCCCAGATATATATTCAGATAACATTCAGGAAACACATTGAAAGTGTGATTTATGGATGAGCCCCTCACATGTGCCTTAATGAACATGTATGTTCACTCTTGTATTTTGCATAGATTTCCTTTAAAAATTGTTTTTCATGTTCCTTCTATACATTTTTATTATTAATCTAATTAACAAACCACTCAATAAACTTGAGTAAATATTTTACACAGCTATAAACAGTTCATACTTTACGGAGCACTTACTCATATTGAGATCTTTTCTGGCTCTCCATAATGGAAAGTAGGGCTTTTCCCCAGTTCACATGTTAATTTGCCTTTGTATATCAGTGACTCTTGCAAATGATCTAAAATTACATGTCAGTGGATGAGTGACGTTTATTCCCAAGATCAACAAAATGGGAAATGTGAGAATCCAAGTAACTCCCATGCCTTCCCATACCTCACCAAGTTCCATCGCCTATTTGGGCCTCCTCTTTTTCCCCATTTTCTTTTTGGAAAAGTCTGCTCTCAGTCATTGTGCTTATCTTTCCTATCCTTTATAGCACTTTCCTCCATCACTAACATAGCATCTCTCTGTCTCTCCATTATACCAATGACCCCTTGTCCACAAGAAGTCTCTCTATTTTGCGTATTCTGAACTCATTAGCAATAATGATGGCCTGGCATGCAGTAACAGTCCAATAATTGTTTGTGGAATAAATACATGAATGAATAATGCCTTGTAGCTGTTTCATTTTTTGTCATTTACATATTTTAAGAATGAACACTTCATACGTTTGTCCTATTTACTTTGTTGGACTGCAATCTTCCTATACACTGAGGCTGATTTTGTTTTTGTTTTTGTTTTTTTCATCTTCCTCACAGTGTTGCAAGCAGTTAGCAAGCAACTCTCATGCAAAATGAAAAGCATCTTGCAATATGTAATGTTTTTGAACATTTGGGAAACATTTCTTTTTTGCTGTATTACCTGGAACACATGACCAGGAGACAGAATCCCCAACCACAGGTTTTCAGCTACCACCCCACATGAGAGCCAGCTGGCAAGCTTGGATTAATCGATAATTATCATTGAAATTCGAATTACATGACATTGAGATGTCCCATCATGAAAATTTAATAAAATGACAGCATATACAGAATTCCAATTTAAATTCCACTGAACGTATGCTGTGGCACTGGGAATTCGTATACATTATGAGAAAACAGAATCAGCACGAATTCACTCTCACCCTGAGCTTAAGATGACTCACACTAGTGTCTCATCTGCTGTGTACTTTAAGTGCCAATGGCAAACAGGAGGGCTGCTCAGCTGGCACTGCAAGAGCCTGCACACAAGGAGCTCTTTCAGAAGGATGGACAGTGTGGAACCAGCAAGAAGTCCTGACGCTCCCAGGAAGTGGTAGCCGCATGGAGGCCTGGAGGAGAAAGAGAAGGAAATGATGTTCTGGGCGGAGGTTGGGCAGCTGGGTTGCCTTCAGGAAGCGTTGTGGTTTAAGGTCCTCGCCTTGAACGTGCCAGGATCACATATGGGCACCAGTTATAATACCGACAGCTCCACTTCCCATCCAGCTCCCTGCCCGTGGCCTGGGAAAGCATTCAAGGATGGCCCAGAGAATTCATACCCTACACCCACGTGGGAGATCCGGAGAGAAGTTTCTGTCTCCTGGCTTCAGATCGGCACAGCATTGGCCATTGTGGTCACTGGGGAGTGAATCATTGGACAGAAGATCTTCCTTTCTGTCTCTGCTCTCTGTACATCTGCCTTTCCAATAAAAATAAGTAAATCTTAAAAAAAAAAAAAAAGAAAAGAAAATGGAAGAATTCCTCTCCACCCCCAACTCTCTTTCTCTTGCTCTGTATCTCCCTCTCTCTCAAATAGGGTTGAGGTTCTATGAAGCAGAATTCCAGGATACTTAAGGAAATCATCTGATTTGTTCTGAAGTACAGACAGTTTGTGACCCAATTACCATCCAATTTCACCAAGTTCCTTTGAAAGCTTCAGTGCTCCTTGTTCTGAGATTGACATTACCAAAGTGGACAAGGGGCCACTATGCCTTCAGATTAGTGGCATGAATGCGTCAGCAGAAGACGCTATTTAGCAGTGGTCTAGAAATGAAAATGGATAAAGCAAGCAGCATTTAATTTCCTATCATTGCCTGAACATACAGTCAAGTCACCCCTGATCCCTGCCAGTTAACCTGGTGGGCAGGACCTAGAACTTATCTGCCCAATGGCTTAACTTCCAACCCTGATAGGAACCAGGACCTCTGTCAGGATTGTTCCTTCAAGAGGATTAGGCGTGCCTTTTAGCCAATCACAGTGTCCTTATTGGGTGAAGGGACTATCTGAAAACGCCCTGCTACCCTCCCTTTCAATCAGCCTTTATAAATGTTGAACTTTGAATAGACAGGACATTCCTCACCAGTTAGGCTCTGGTGGTTCCTCGACGGAAGAACACCATCCCCGGCCACCAGCATGACTTTCCGCCGGCGTCGAGTTGACTCGGAGTCGGATGAAGAAGAGCAGGACTCAGAGGAGGTTTGGTTGAAACTTGAGGAGACCCGAGAGGTGCAGAATTTGAGGAAGAGGCCCAAGGGCGTGAGTGCTGCTGCTCTGCTGGTGGGAGAGAAGGTGCAAGAGGAGAACACACTGGTGGATGACCCCTTCAAGATGAAGACCAGCAGAATGGTGGACATGAAGAAGCTGAAGGAAAGGGGCAAGGAGATCAGCGAGGAGGAAGACCAGTACCTGGGCACGTCATTCTTGGCAGAGACCAACCGCAGGGACGAGGATGCCGACATGATGAAGTACATAGAGACAGAGCTCAAGAAGCGGAAGGGCATCGTGGAGCACGAGGACCAGAAGGTGAAGGTCAAGAACGCCGAGGACTTCCTCTATGAGCTGCCCAAGAACATCCGTGTGGCCTCGGCCAAGAGGACCGAGGAGATGCTGTCCAACCAGATGCTCAGCGGCATCCCCGAGGTGGACCTGGGCATTGACGTTAAGATCAAGAACATCATCTCCACGGAGGACGCCAAGGCTCGCCTGCTGGCTGAGCAGCAGAACAAGAAAAAGGACAGTGAGATGTCCTTTGTGCCCACCAACTTGGCAGTCAACTACGTGCAGCACAACCGCTTTTATCACGAGGAGCTCAATGCTCCCATCCGGAGAAACAAGGAGGAGTCCAAAGCCCGGCCCTTGAGAGTGGGGGACACAGACAAGCTGGAGCCTGAGCGCTCCCCTCCTAACCGCAAGCGTCCTGCCAACGAGAAGGCCAGGGATGACTACCACTATGAAAAGTTCAAGAAGAAGCACAGACGGTACTGAGCTGGGCGGAAGGGGCCCCTATGGCACCCCACCCGGGACAGGAGCCTCTTCCCAAACACAGACATGGCTGGCTGACCTGGGGCAGGCAGGCGGGAAGCCCTCAATCTATCAACTTTTGGAATAAACCAATGTTTGGTTTGCCTGTTTTAGGGACAAACTGCATTATTAAATCTTGTTTGTTTGTAAATAAACAACTTGATCAATCATTTCTTAAAGGCCTCACTTTCAGACACCACTTTAAACACACCAAGCATTACGTTATTAGTGATTAACCAAGAAGTTTAGGATTTAAATGGCTTGGTAATGTTCTAGGCTGTGATTAGGAATTTGGGGGTTTCTATGTCACAGCAACACTGGCTCAGGGCATTCACTGGCTCACAAATGGCTGAACACAATGTTGGCTTCATGTGAGGCTAGAACAAGAAGCAGTTTCACCTAGAAGCCCTAGAAGCATTTCCAATCAGCTTTAATACTGAGGATTTCTATGAGGAACCCCAAAACTGTGCTATGCATGGCAAATTCAACGCTGGTGGTGTTTTGGTTCTTGAGGTTTTCTTCCCAAAGCTCTCTGGAAACAAAGTTGGTCTGTTCTAGCATTGTCTGCCTGGATTTCATCAACATGCATGCACAGATCACATACAGCACCAGTTGTTAGTTCATGGATGTCTATGTAGACATATAAAGGACAGCCTACAAATAGGCATGTCTATAACTCAGAATGCCAGATGTAGAGGCAGTTAAGGAAGTCGATACACAAGCCTGACATGGGTACATTTGCAGGATGGTGTAGGAATGACTCCAACCAGCATCTGAACTCCTTCTGAGACTCATGAACATAGTAGGATCCATCAGCCTTCCAACCCACAGTACATTCAGATTTAAACAAATAATTCAGTTAATTTCATCACACCCTGTCTTGAATGGGAATAATTTCTTTTCTTTTTTTTTTCCTTATAGTTTCCTTCATGTTTAAAGGGGAGTATTAAGGGAGAAGGCCCACCCAATTTCCCACCCTCCCCAGGTCCCGGATGTAGGGTATGCTCTGAGGTTCTTGCTCAGGTGGTTTTGATATTGCAACAGTTATGATTTGCTGCCAATCTTGACACTCCAAGCACTGTGAGGTCTTTGAAGAATCCACTGGTTGACATAGTCCATCATAGAGTCTCTGTTTGACCCGTATTTCGCTGCCAAGATATAGCTAAGATGGTTGGTTGATCTGTTCTGTCTTCTCTCTTTTCTTGGTTAGGGTTCTGAGTCCAGCATTTTGATTGGGGAGATCTCCAGAGAAACTTTGGCTGAGGTGTTCTCAAACCAGATTCTGGTATGTGCTAGCAAGTACAGGGCCTGGCACCGTCCATCGCCCTCATCAGCTGGTGGTTGCAATTGCTGGGTTGGTTCTGTTTTCACTCCCGACTTCCACTGGAACCAATGGGTGTTGCAGTCCAGCCTGGTTCTGACCAGCACATACTTGCTCCACGCATAAACCAGTGGGAGCTGCAGCCTAGTTGGAACGGCCCGCAATAACCCCTACCAGGCCTGCCCCCTACCCTGGTTTGCCAGTATGTGTAGCAGTAATCCAGTCTGTCCCACACCCCTTTCCACCCCAGCGGCTGTCCTAGTTTTATGCCCTCCCGTGGAAGTAGTAACCCAAGAGGGAGGAGCCCTGGAGGGGAGGGGGAAATCCCAGTGTCTATAAAACTGTGTCACATAATGCAATGCAATCAAAAAAAAATTTTTTTAAAAATAGAGGGAGGAGCCCACTATTTCCCTCCCAGGTCACTCCCACTCCCAGATTATCCACTCTCCAGATAGTCCTGTGGTTTGACTTGACAGAACTAGCCCCTAGTGCCAGCTTCTTGCAGCTGATGCTATGGCTATGGCCAAACAACCCTCACCCACTCTAATTTTGTTTGCACCAGTAGGAATAATCAGCTCAGCCTGGCTTTTCCCTGATCTAGTCCACCTGAGGCTCACAGGTGTTGTAGCCCTGCCTAGTCTGGTCTGCCCCCATCCCAGCTCATGCTCTCCAGCAGGAGTAGCTGTCCAGCAAAGGAACCACCCCTTATTCCCCTGCCGGCTCTGACCCCTTATTCTCATGCTTGCTAGTTGGGCACTGTGGTCATTTCCATTACAGGCAACCTCACCTTGGCATTCCGTATTGTGCACTAGTCTTTGTTGTGACTGAACCAGGCTCAACCCACACAGTTCTGGTGCTTGGATTTACCAGTGGATGACGTGGACAGCTTCAGCCTGATCTTCCCCCGACCCCTGCCAATTGTATGCCAGTGGGAAACTTTCCATGGCCTGTTCTGGGCTGTTTCCTATCATGTTTCCTGTGGTTACCTGCCGGGTCTGTGTCCTGCCAGAGGAGTTGCCCAGGCTCCTCCATCAGAACCTCTCCCAATGCCAGGTTTCATGCTTACCAGTGGGTCGACGAACCAGCCCTACTCAGTTCACCTCCTGCCCTGGCAGGAACAATGGCTTTCTTTTCCTGACTGGCCTTCGACCCAAGCTGTTTCTTGTTGGATGTTTCAGTCCAGCCATGGCTCGTCTATACCCACATATGGCTCACACATGTCTCAGTAGGCGTTTGAGACCTTGCCTAGTCCATCCCACATCTATCCCGGTCCTCCAGGACACCAGAGGGTGTTGGGGTCTGGTCCGGCTCGGTGCATTTGATCGCAGTCCACACTTGTGCCAAGGGAGACTACAACCGTTTCCCGGCCAGAACACAGCCCCCACTCCAGGTCGCACGCCCCTTGGTGGGAACCTCAACCCAGCTAGGGTTGTCCCCTTGGCTCCCTAACCAGGCCTGTTTCCAGCCACAGATCACTTGCATGCCAGTGGTTGCTCTGACTCAGCTTGGCACAGCCCCTCACCTGTCCTGACCTCTGCCTTAGACCCTGTGGCTAGTGTTCCTGGCTCACGCCGACTAGTAGGTACAAGAGCCTAGCTCGGCATGACCTGTGCTCTGTCCTGGTCTCCAGTTTTGCTTGTGGGCTAAGGTTTGCTCAGTCCTGCCTGATCTACAATGTTCCATTACCAATTGACATATTTGCCAGCTGTTGGAGCTACTTTTCCCAGCTTGTCCGACCCCCAGGTCTGGACCACATATTCACCAGCGAGAGCGATGACTCGCCAGGGGAGTTTCCCATGTTCCTCCACTTAATCTACTCCCAGACTCAATTCTCATACATGCCATTGGGTTTAGGCCAGTGCCTGGCGCAGTCTGGCCTACCATTGGACCTTGTATGAGCTGGTGAATGTTGCAGTCCGGTCCACCCCACACCCTAATCAGGATGCACATTTGGGTGCTGCTGCCCTGACCAGTCCAGGCTATTGGGGGTTCCTTTACCTGTGATTGATGGCAGGCTCCTTAGTCACACCTAGCTTAGTCCATCACCACCCCAACTCTTGAGTTAACCAGTGGGGCTAGAATTTCCACAGGATGTAGCCCACACATCCCTCACAAAATTTACCCCTGGTTATGGTTCTTAAGTGCTAGTTAATGTAATGGCTTGCTTAATGTGACCTTTCTCCTGATCCATCATCATCACAGGTAACATGATATAATTATACAGGACAAGCCCAAAGCCATAACTTTTGCATGGACTGGTATTTGGTGGTCGGCATTGTTCAGTGATTATAAGTTTTACAAAGAGTTACTGCCAATGGGAGTCTTTACGAATGCTTCACGTCCTAGTAGCACAATGGGTTCAAACTGGAGCTAACTAAGCAGCGACTCAAACAAACAAAACCCCAGAGCTTCCCTGGCCGGGCGGTCAGCAGGCAGAGCCTGGCACCAAATGACGCACTGGCCGCCCGGGGACAGCTCACCACGTGCACATGGTGGCTGTCGTCTGGGATCCAGTCATGAGACGCCCCATCCTGAGACCCACCAGCAGCCGGGAGGCTGCTGGAAGTTTAAATTCCCAGGTCCAAGGTCACGCCTTTCCTAAATCCCCTTCCCAAATGCCCAATGAAGGTGGTGGGTGGGTCCTGGACCTGCCCAGTCATGGAGACCTCCCCCATCAGTGTACTGATTTCATAAGTTAGTTCTCAGCCATTTATTTTTCCTTGATGGGTAATGTGTTTATTGAAACAGGAAAAGGAAGGGGAATTAGGGCAGGGGGTGTCTGGAGTTGTGAAGATGCAGGAGTGGTCGTCGGTGGCCTGGGCCAGCTGAAGCCACACAGCTCCTCCCTCAGCGGATCGTGTACTTGTCCCACTTCTTCTCTGGGTCGTAGGGCTCCCAGCGGCTGGCAGGGAAGATGTGCTTGTTCCTCTCGTACCAACTCCTCAGCACCACCTTGCCAGCATGCGACTCGTCCTTCTCCACGGTGGCATCACTGAGCAGTCGCACATCATCGTGCACGTCGAAGTTAAAGAGCGGCCCACTCTTTCCTCGGGCCTTGGTGACAATGAAATGATAGAAGGTGTGATGATGGGGGATGATCAGATCCTCCTTGATGAACATGAGCTGCTCCACGCCAGCCGACCTGAGCTCACGGAAGTCCTTCCTCAGGATCTCCAGTGCCTTCTGCAGGAACTGCTGCGTCGTGTTGCCCTTCTTGATCCTGACCGTGCGCCGGTGCCCAGAGCCATCCCAATAGCTGAAAGTGATTTCAATCTCCTCACTCTTGATCTTTCCCTGCTTGGCTTCCCACTCCTGCCGCAACTCTTCCCGCAGCCGGTTCTCCTGCTCCTCACGCTCTCGGTCAGGCAAAAAGCTCGTGTCCACATCTGGATTCTTCCCTAACTTCCTCCTCTTTGTGGTGAGCTGTTCCATTTCCAGCTCCTCCTCATGTACGGCTCCCTCCTCTTCCTCCAGGGTGAAGGACAGACCAGAGATCTTGCGCTTGGCCTCCTCCTTGCGCTCCTTCTCCCGCAGCTTCTCCAGTTTCAGCTGTAGCTGCTTGGGCTGCTCCTTCTTGGCCAGCTGCTTCTCTCGTTCCTTCACTAGGGCTTCCTGCTTGGCCTTCATGTCATTCAGGGTCACGAGACCCACAGTGCTGGACTGGAGTTCTGCCTCCACGGCATCGTAGTGTGTAGAGAACTTCTTGTCGACGCTGGATTGTATTCTGTTCTCTGCTGCTATCCGCTGCTTCAACTCTTCCATTTGCGTGCGCTGCTTCTCTCGCTTCTTCATCAGGTGCAAGGCACGGGCTGCCTCGCTCGCGGCGCCCTTGTACTGAGCCATGGCTGCGGCAGTGACAGGAGCCCGGCCCAGTCTCAGCGGCGGTGGCTGGAGAGTTCCTGCTGACCACGGGTGATGGCTCCCTTGCCGCTGCGTCCACCGTGCAGCAGCAACAGCAGCCGCTCTCGCTACCACTACCTCTGGCGCCAACAACAGCAGCAGCAGGGGCTGGACTACAGATACAGGCGTGTGAGTTGCTTGGTTGAATGCAAATTGGACCTCATTTGCATATAATCGCAGGAGTGGGAAAGCCAGGTCACGTGGTAGATCAATGTTCAGTTGTCAAACTCTGGATACGGATGTCCACAGTTGCTGGACCTTGGGGCTGAAGTCTGCCAACAGGCTCCGAGGTCTCTGATCGTGAACCACCAGAGGCAAGCTGGTGAGGCATGTCCTATCCATGCATCACGAGTTCAAGGTTTATAAAGGCTTCCGGAAAGGGAGGGTAGCAGGGCGTTTTCAGATAGTCCCTTCACACAGTCATGACACTGATTGGCTAAAAGGCACGCCTACTCCTGGGAGTGGGACCCCTGGGCTTAGAAATAGCGCGCCGATATGGGATCATGTTGTGTTCATGGCAAGCACTTCAACGGCTATGCCATCATGCCAGGTCCAGATGGGACTGTTGTTACTAGTTTGTTCTCAGACAGGTGTTGTTTGTCTATACTAAGCCTGTCCATTTTTTCTTTGTGGATATTTGTATTTGGCCCCCTTATGAAACTCATGAGCTCTAATCTGGGTCTTTTGGTTCTCCCATAGATACAATCATGTCATCTGCAAATAGATATATCTTGGCTTTCTCATTTCCCACTTGAATCTTAAGTGGGAACCTTGTTGGTGAGAAGTATTTTGAATATATATGACATAGTAATAATACATTGTGTTTCTCTCTCTCTCTCTCTCTTTTTTTAATGGGAGGCCAAAGTCAGTCACTTTAATCATGTACTTTTATCATGTGCTGTTTTCACAGATGGATCACACTCAGATTTAGTAATTTTCACTATACATCTTGTCATGATTTCCAATATGACATGCATATGTTTGATGAGGATTTGGGACAGGAATAGCATTGAGGTTTGTGAAGCTTGTGAGGGCCCAGTAACCTAGTAGCTAAATCCTTGTCTTGCACGCACTGGGATCCCATATGAGCACCTCTTCCTGTATCGGCTGTTCTAATTTCCCATCTAGCTCCCGGATTGTGGCCTGGGAAAGCAGCTGAGGACAGCCCAAAGCCTTGGGACCCTGCAGCTGTGTTGGAGACCTGGAAGAAGTTCCTGACTCCTGATTTGGGATTGGCACAGCCCCAGTCATTATGGCCACTTGGGAAGTGAACCAGGAGACACATAGAAGATGCCTAGTGTCTACATGGGATCCTGGTGCCAGCAGGTGGAGGACTAGCCAACTGAGCCATAGCACCAGCCCCTAGAGGTTAGTTCTGAACTGAAATCCACATTGTAATGTGATTGTCTCTTGAAGTTTAAATTGTGGCAATTAATGTAACATTTTAAATAGCATCGTTGAAGCAAAAGCAATATTTCTGCAGTTTGTATCTCTGGTCTTAGTTTTGACTTTAGCAAAGTCTGAAAGTCTTGTGGAGAGAGATGACTCCTGTTAGTAGCACCTAGGGCTGGATGTCAACTCCTTCTAGCTAAATCACCCTTAAGCCTTTAGATCCTAATTCTACTGCACGAATTCAGTACAGATGCTTTCATTTGCCCATGGATTAATTTTTCTGGGTGAGACATACTTTACTCAGCTTATATGTAGCTCCCATCAGGCCATCCTTGTGGGACATTCCAATCCAGTAGGGCCTTGATGGTTTTCCAATCGGGAAATACAAAGCATTCCATTATAATGCTTACCTTGCATAGGCACAATATAGTTCCTTTATGCATTTCCTGAGCAAGGTAGGAATAAGATGTTGCTGAAGTATTTGCCAGGTGCTTTTGGAAGGTATTTTGTCTTTTAGAAGAACGTACTGGACTTCCGGTTCTGTGTCTTCAGCATGTTGGCCCTGAAATTTTCCTCTTTTCTGAACAGCTCAGCCAGACTCATCTTTCAGCTCTTACAAACTCTGACCCCTAGGTGGCACCATCTGCAACTTTCTGAGTCTTTTCCGGTCTTAAGTCTCCCACCTCATCATTCCATTGCTTGGTCAGCCAACTGCCTGCACTATGGGCACATAGCAGCTCTTTCTCACGTTTTGTCAGATCCGCAGTGCTTCAGATAGACTTCTGCTTGCTCTTTCGAAAAAGTTTTCAATCTATGTGAAAGGCAAAGAGACACACACAGATACCATTCCCTCACACACACGGGAGATATAGACAAAGGTGTGTGTGTGTGTACAGAGAGAGAGTTCCTAGGGGAACCGTATAATAGAGATGAGCATATAGGAAGTGAAGAAACATTGCAGTATGCATCTACTTCCTAATAAAAGGAAGACTCAAGTTGAAATTGTTAAATATATCTTGACAATAGGATTGCTGGACTTTCTGGCATTGATTATATCTACAATGTCGTTTCACACTTAAATAGCAGAATGATGGACTCGTGACTGTTACACTCTACTACTGTAATATGGGAGAGGATTGTGCAAAGCAGTGGTGGAAGGGGAAACCGATGTGTATGTGGGACTGCATCATAAAAAATAAAAAGCAAAATAAAGCTGGCTGTGCCTCAATCTTAACAGCATAAAAGGATTCCAAGATAAAAATTCAAAAATAATTTGGCTAGAAGTTCTGATAATTTTTATTTCTAGAATACCAAAAGTATCTTGAACTTATATGAGGACGTATATCTAGTTCTTCTGTTTGCTGCTGCTTTTGGTTGCCTCATCCTGTGGATGAACCACCTGAAAGCTCTCTTGATCTAGTGTCATTGCCCTTTAAAAATAATTGGCCAAGAGTCTAACTGGTTTAGCTGTATAGTTGAGCAATATTTATCTTCAGTTCTGCTAAAAGCTAAAACGTAAGGGGTATCTGTTCTGTCTTCCTGATAGAAACTACCTGTTTCCTTTTCCATGAGGGATAGAATCTTCTGTAGATGTTATCAGAAGCCTCTGATTTCATGTAAACATAAAAGTTACCTTAAAAACTGTCCGTAACAGATTGAGGCAAAATTGCTGTCCTGAAGTTCTTCAGTTCTCCGAATGTCATCTCCTCACCTTACTTCAAACACCAGACTGGCTACGGTAGCGTTACCTTCAACATCTTTCCTATTCAGGCAAACCATTTGTGAATAGATACTTCTATTTTCCTTAAATACTTAACAGGGCCATCACTTAGGGCTGTTCACCATGTTATTTCTTCATTTAGTACCCCTCGGACAGATTTCCAATCCAGTTTATAGTATAGCATTTTTTCAATACTGTCTATAATTAAGTAATATGAACATCATATAATTTTGGCAACCTTTTCCATGCAATGAAAATTCAGTTGTGCCTAGTCTTTAGCTTCTGTTTTGATGCCGGGCTAATGTATGTGCTTTTATACCATTTTATAAGTTATTTCTATCAAAGTGATAGTGACCCTTTAATTCAAACAAATTGAAATCCAGAGGGCAAAAGTTTGTCTAAGGCCAGATTTAAACTCTAACTTATACCAGTAGTCATAAAATTTCCATGATGCCCTGTCAGCCACTTTTTATTGTATACTGGCATAGTTAACCCAAAAGACTATTAGTATGATGAATAAATTTCTTGAGGAAACTTGGAAAGCCTACATAGTATTTATCAAGCATTTTCAACTTGTTTATTTTTTTCTATAAGAATGGTTCTCAAATATCATGGAAATTTTCCTTGGCAGATGAACGTTTGTAAGTTTTTTCATAATAGACAATTATACTAAAACCTTTTTTTTTGTTATTCTTCTGATTGTCCATAGGTATAATTGATTGCACTAGGATAATACCTTGTATCCTCAGGATGCAGAGGAACTCTGGACAAAGGGGAATTGACAAAGAAACACTCTAAGTAAATGCAGGGTCATCTCTATGGCAGGGCTGCCAGAGAAGGTTAATGGTCAACTTCACTTAGAAATTTATGTTGCGATTGATAATGAATGGATGCTTAAGGGGAGGGTGCTGCAATCATTGGAAATGCCACATGGAAATACTCATGTACCTGATCATCCCAGTGACTCAGAGCCATGAGATGGATAAAAATGGCCGTGGGATGCAACCAGAACCACATACCAGGAAACATCCACTGTGACAGATGGGGTCTCTCTGCCTCCAGCATTGTCTAGAGTTGTTGTAATAGTGCAAATGAGAGCTGAAGGCCTGAACTGTGGAATGAGATAAGATAGATTTGAGAGATTTAAAGATAGAACAGATGCCAGCTGAAACTTTTCCAAGTTCTGTTGAGCTTCAAACTAATTGGAAGACAACTGGCAGGCAGAAGATGGGAAAGTTGGTAATTTTCCAGTTTCTTGTCTGAGATTTCCTGAGTTATTTGGGATTCAAATCCTTCCCTCTTTCAAGAGCAGTAGGAGGCATTTGGGAACAATGCTAACATGTTTGACGCTGGGTTCTTAATGTATGAAATGAGAGCCATTAATTTACAAATGACCAATCTAAAGATGTAATGAGTTAAGAACAGAATTCTGGGCTCAAATCCTGGTTGCTGCTTTTGTTGATAAGACTTGAATTTGCATATAATTCATGTCAAATACAGATACTAAATTATAATATATTGTATGTTAATACAGTAATCAAAATGCCACATTCATCTTTCTGCTTATGCTTCAGAGGCAAATAGGGTAAAGGCATAATTACACCATCCATACTTCTCAATTCCCTCTACTTTTCATGTAATTTCTTCACCTAGATTGAAGTTCACATGTTCATACCAGCAGATTACAGGGTAAACAATTTCAGCAGGTTTTTTTAAAACAAATTTGAAAGGCTTAGCCACAGAGATTGGGGACGGCATATGTGTAGAGCTCTTCCATCCACAGGCTGACACCACAAAATCTTGGTAAGGCTTCATGATTCTTTTGGGCAGT